GAGAGTACGTTTTAACTTGAAAATTTGATGGGAAACGGAAACTAATAGATCAATTCACTATTTCATAAGTTGTTCTAACCTCTAACCATTAACACACGACATCTCCACAAAACCAACAACACGTCACACGATAATAAGATAAGACCGTGATAACCACGCGCATTTATCAAAATCCACAAGCGCGTGTGTCTGTCCTACGTAACCAAAACCTCACTCTTCTCTATCTCTCGGCCTCGGTTTTGTCGTCACCACTTCATATCGACGAGCTTCCCAAGAATGTCGTCGATGTTAATGGCGGTTAAAACCACTTCCCTCACGGCTTCACCTAGATTCCGACCGAACAATCGCTCGGCGAGGTTGGTTAATCCGACGGCGAGAATCCAAACACGTATTCATCGTCTGATTGAAGAACAAGGCATTGTTCTTATGCCTGGATGCTATGATGCTTTATCGGCTGCTATCGTGCAACAAACCGGATTCTCTGCCGGTTTCATCTCCGGTTACGCTCTCTCCGCTTCTCTATTGGGAAAACCAGATTTTGGTTTGCTAACGTGCGCCATTCTGCTTTTGTCTTTTTGTTGTTCACTTGTTCTTTTATTGATTTCTTTACTGTCGTTTTATTTGTTTTCTTTTGTCGTTTTAGACCGCCGGAGATGGCTGCAACGGCGAGGTCTGTGTGTGCTTCAGCTCCAAATATACCCATCATTGCAGATGCAGGTAAAGTTTCGATCTTGGTGTCAAAATGGTTAACAAATTCACTAAGAATGCAAGAAACATAGCAAAAGTTTGTATCTTTAATTGTTGATTCTTTGATTATAGATTATGACTTAGATGAAATTACCAATCTTTCTCGGTTTAGTAACATTTCATATTTTTCACTTGCTTGCTTATTCATAGCTCTTTGAGACAAGGGGAACTGTTTCATAGTTGGCTCCATATCTTTTTTTCTAACGAGCATCATTCTTTGATCTGTTTTAGATACCGGTGGAGGAAATGCGCTTAACGTTCAAAGAACCGTAAAGGATTTGATCGCAGCAGGCGCTGCTGGTTGTTTCCTTGAGGTGAATTGTCTCTGGTTCTTTGATCAGATAATAGCAAAGTCTTGTGTATTGCATTTTACTTGTTTTCATTGAACATTTTGTTGGTTATTTCTTCGCAGGACCAAGAATGGCCAAAGAAATGTGGTAAGTGTGTGTGACATTTTTGTTTTCATTTTCTTATATTCGCTGAATGAACACTTTATGTTCATCACTCTGTCTTTTCGTGTAGGTCATATGCGCGGTAAACAGGTGATACCAGCAGAAGAACATGCTGCCAAAATAGCATCAGCTCGAGACGCTATTGGTGATTCTGACTTCTTTCTTGTCGCAAGAACAGACGTACGTGCTACTTCTGCGAAATCAGGGCTTGAAGACGCCATTGCACGGGTTAATCTATACATGGAGGTATACAAATCATCATAAAGATTGAAAACAAAGACAAATTTGGTGTCAACTATAATGAACGGATTTGTTGTAATTGTGAAGGCAGGAGCTGATGCTTCCTTTGTAGAGGCACCGAGAGACGACGATGAGCTCAAGGAAATTGGAAAACGAACAAAGGGTTATAGAGTTTGTAATATGATTGAAGGCGGAGTCACGCCATTGCACACGCCTGAGGAGCTTAAAGAAATGGGATTTCACTTGATCGTTCACCCGTTAACTGCGCTCTATGCATCCACTAGAGCTCTGGTCGATGTTCTCAAGACTCTCAAAGAAAACGGAACCACTCGAGATCACTTGGAAAAGATGGCTACTTTTGAAGAATTCAATAGTTTGGTGGATTTAGATTCATGGTTTGAGCTTGAAGCTCGTTACTCAAACCTTAGGAACGCTCTTGGGACAACAACAAAATCATGAAGAGACAACTACATAGACACGGTTTTTTTTTCTTTAACTCTCTGAAGCTCTTTCTTTGCTATTTTTTTCAGACGATTATTTGAGCAATGGTCTTCATCAATAATGTAACATCTCATTTCAGACCTGTTCCTCTGCTTTTCTATTGGCAATGGCCACATTTTGCTTCTCTTCATTGCTCATCTCCAGTCTTCNTCTTCTCCTCCTGTGCTTTGGTTTTCTCGGCTTTGTTGTTTCTAAAGTATACCAAGTACAGTATCAGTTGCAACGTCCCTAATGCACATCCGAATCCATTTGGAATCTGTAAAGAAACATTTCACAACAACTCAATACAAAACCCTTGCTTCCGTGGCAAGTAAGTCACAAAATAGGGAACTGATCAACTTACTGCAACAAATGGATCCTTCCCAATGAGACAGTAAACAAACCATGAGGTTCCACAGAGGAACACACAAAGAGACAAGAAGAATGGCATGTACTCTACACTCTTTGTCTTTATCTCCAATCTCTGA